ATGTTGTTGTTGTTTTTATTTTGGTTTTCTAACATTTTAATATTTTTGCTTATTTATTTTTTATATCTTTTCTTTACTTTCTATAATTGTTTTTTTTTATCAATTAATTTTTTCATCTTCTTTTTTCCTTTTCCAAAACTTTCCTTTTAAAGTAGTGAATCACAGCAATTAGTTTATTGACAATGCATTGCTTTTTACCTAAATAAAATACCATCACTTGTGTTTATTTAATTAAAAAAATTATAACTTAATAAAATACTTTGCATTAATTCAAGTTATTATAAAGAAAGTATATAAAAATTAAAATATATACAATTAAAAATTCAATTTTTTAAAGCAAATATTTTTGAATATTTTTTAACATAATAAGATAAAATAAACTTTAATTATGAAAATCAGTATAATAAGTGGTATTTCAAACAGGTATGCTAAGTAGGTAAGTAGACAACACAGTTTTTGTGGTGATAAAGTATGATTAACACACAATGCGCTTGACAGGTGGAACAAGATTGTTGGTCGCACATTGTGGTACAATGACTAATAAAAAAATTCATCCCAAAAGATTTGCACATTTCTTTATCATACAATCTTTATTGTTAAATTCAATTAATATAAGACAGTTCTTCGTACCATTTGTACTGTGACACAAAGAAGTAAAAGCAGCTATATATTTTGATTAATGGGACACTTACACACTTATACAAAATGTGTTTGAGAAACACGAGTTATAATACTTAAACACAAATAAACTGTTCGCAATAAATATGAAATTATAATTATGAACAGATTGCTTGAAAACATTTATTATTTTGTTATAATTAACATAGTTATACTTTTATTTTCAACAACAAAATAAAATCTGAACATAATTTGCATAATGCAAGCAATATTGTTAGTTTTATCAATATAATAAGTAGTAAAATAACATGCTTAGAAAACAATGCACAATATATAAAGTTATATGTATGTATATATATATATATATATATATATATATATATATATATATATATATATATATATATATATATATATATATGTATATATATATATATATATATATATATATATATATATATATATATATATATATATATATATATATATATATATATATATATATATATATATATATATATATATATATGTTAGTGTATTCAGCTTTTGAGGGAATTAAGGAATACCCAAAAAGGATACAGAGGTGTGCAGAGTAGTAACTTTTATAGCTTTCTCACAAGAAGTATGGAGAGGCTATTTTCTGCACTTGAGTTTATATCAAGCAATTTTGATATAGCTACCAAAACCTAATATTTTATAAAAAATTTTATCACTTTGATTTTTTTCCTCTTATATATATATATATATATATATATATATATATATATATATATATATATATATATATATATATATATATATATATATATATATATATATATATATATATATATATATGCCCTGGTTCTTAAAGAACAGAGCAATAATAAATTAAAAAAAAACACTTATCTAATTTTTTCTTCAATTCTTTCTTCTTCTTTTTACTAATATATATATATTAGTAAAAAGACTTATCTGTTATAATTAGATAAGTCTTTTTACTAATATATATATATATATATATATATATATATATATATATATATATATATATATATATATATATATATATTATATATATATATATATATATATATATATATATATATATACATATATATATATATATATATATATATATATATATATATATATGCATATATATACATATATATATATATATATGCATATATATACATATATATATATATATATATATATATATATATATATATATATATATATATATATATATATATATATATATATACAAATAATTTAAATGTATTCTACAAAGTAGAGTGCTCAATGTTCTTAAAAGAACAGAGCAAGAATAATTTAGTAGAAAATCACTTAACAAACTTTTTTCATTTTACACTGTGTTTCATCAATTAAGACTCATCAGAAAAATTGTAAATTCTAAAATACTTAAACTATTTAAACCAAAGTTGGACTTAACATAAATCGGCTGTTAAAGCCTAGATCACCTAGGCTCCGTACATTGTCATTGTACATGTACACAGTTATTATTAAATAAATAAATAAATACATATATTCATACATAGATACATACATTCATACATTCATACATACATACATACATACATACATACATACATACATACATACATACATACATACATACATACATACATACATGCTAACATACATACGTACATATATGATGAGTGATATATATTGGTGAGTAAAACATACAAAAAAAAACCTTAGTGTTTTTTTGTTTTTGTATGCATTTAGGTTAAATGAAATTGGCAGTAGAAATGATCCAAACAGGTCTGTAACTTTCATAAGCTGATATGACATAGGCTTCTTGTTGATTAAATTCTTGAAACAAAAAATAGTCTAATCTTGATTATTGATAATGGTTTTTGAAAAAAAATCCTGAAAAGCGCAAGAAAAAAACGGTAAAAACACAGACTAGTAGGTTGAAATGAGTATCGCCTTTATTCGGTTGAAAATCAAATTATCTCAAATCGGTTGATAAAATAGGTCGAGAAAAAAATCGGTCGAAAATAAAAACGTCATAAATCGGTCGAAAATAAGAAGGACTATTTTCGGTTAAAAACAATTTAGGCCTCAGTAGGACATCTAAAAATTATTTTCAATTTTTAGTAGATGTTCTATTTTGTAGATCAAGTTAGTAGGTGGAGGTTTTTGTAGGTCGAACTATGCGACACGTATTGTTGCTATAATTTTGTTATTTGATTTTTTTTTTTTTTTTTTTTTGAAATTTCGGTTTTGTTTATTGCAGTTTTACTTATGTTTTTCATATAATAAGTTTTAAATTTAAGTGAAACAATATAAACAAACTTGTTTACAACTTACAATATAAACAATATAAACATACTTGTATATACAAACAATATAAATAACAAACTTGCATATAATTTTTCTGTGTGTAAATAAATAAATAAATATATATATATATATTTATTTATTTATTTATTTATATTAAATGAATAAAAACAACATTTGATGGAACTCTGAGTTTCATGTCTTTTTGCAATCATCAGCCATTGTGTATTTCGTCACTTAAAAACCGTTAAAAAATTACAAATTAAAATTACGGTGGAACAAGTTCTGATGTTACAAAAACAAAACAAAACAAAAAGTTGTCAAAGGTTTTAGTCCCCGGTATCGAATTAGGATAGTAAAATTTTTTTTGAATGCCGGCACTTTGATATTATTTCATATCTTTTATTAAGTAAGTAAATAAATGTTGCTCTATTATTTAATAGTATTGAGCACTCTTAAATGCACAAGAGTATTTATATTATTATTATTATACCATAATAATACATTATCTATTTTGTATAAATTTGCTCCTACAAGTTGAGCACTCTTTTAAAGTCGTCAACAAAAATGGAAAAAATAAACGTAAAATATTCAATCAAAAATATACAGATTCCATTTGAAAAAGAAAATAAATTAAAACTACTAAACAAAACAGAAATGCTCATAAAGAAAATGAGATGGAAGGCGTTCTTTTTCATAAATAAATACCCAAGAAATGATTCAAATTATACAGACTACGGAATCTTCGAAAAACGAGGTAGAAAGAATTAGTAAAGTTATTTTATCTAAAAATTTTCACGAATTAAAAAATAAACTACAGTTGAATCAATAGCAAAGCACCTAATTTGTTATCGGTTGGTTTAAAAAAGTCAAAAATAAACACCTTTGCAAATTTCTAATTTTTGATATAAATGATTTTTACCCATCTATTAGTAAAAACACTCTTACCAATGCAATCAGTTTCGCCGAACAATATTATTATAAATGATGACGATAAAAAGATAATATATCATGCAAGAAAATCTTTAATTTTTAATAACGATGAAGCTTGGATAAAGAAAAGAGGCAAATTATTTGATGTCACAATGGGAGCATTTGATAGAGCTGAAGTTTGTGAACTAGTTGGTATTTTTATGTTGTTTCAGCTCTCTCAACATTATAATAAAAATAATTTTGGCTTGTATCATGACGACGGGCTTGCTATTTTTGAAAACAAAAGCAGCCAACAAATGGAAAAAATCAAAAAGCATTTTACACATTTTAAAAAGTAACAACCTACTTATCTCCATTCAATGTAATATTAAAATTTTCAATTATCTTGATGTAACATATGTAACATATATCAATTATCATGATGTACGCTACTGTAAGTTCTGGAGATCCTTAATTCAAAGATAAAGTTTATTTCGGTATAAGTGAAACCACATTTAAATTAAGATATGCCAACCATCTTAAGTCCTTCAATGCACCCAAATATAAAAATGACACTAAACTTTCCAAAGCAATATGGGAGCTAAAATCAAAACATATAAATCCTGTGATTACATGGAAGATAATAGCACAATGCAAGCCTTACAACCAAGCATCAAAAATTTGTAATCTTTGTCTCCGCAAGAAAATTCACATATTATCATATAAAGGAGAAAACTTACTTAATAAAAGATATGAAATAGTATCAAAGTGCTGGCATTCAAAAAATTTTTGCTCTACTTATTTGATACCGGGGACTAAAACCTTTGACGTCTTTTTGTTCTGTTTTGTTTTTGTAACGTCAGAACTCGTTCCACCATAATTTTAATTTGTAAATTTTAAACGGATTTTAAGTGACGAAATACACAATGGCTGATGATTGCCGAAAGATATGAAACTCAGAGTTCCATCAAAAGTTGTTTTTATTCATTTGATATAAATAAATATTGTTCTATTATTTAATAGTATTGAGCACTCTCAAACGCACAGAGTATTTGTATTATTATTATTATTATTATTATTATTATTATTATTATACCATAATAATACATTATCTATTTTGTATATGTATATATATATATATATATATATAAATTTTTTTTTTATTACTATTAAAGGACCAGGATGAATTTGATCCATACTCCGATGAAGAAGAATTTGAGGTATTATGTGTGTGTGTGTGTGTGTTTATATATATATATATATATATATATATATATATATATATATATATATATATATATATATATATATATATATATATATATATATATATATATATATATATATATATATATATATGTATATATATATATATATACATATGTGTATATATACATATATATATGTATATATATATATGTGTGTATATATATATATATATGTATATATATATACAACTCTCGGAATTAGGATCGGCGTTCGACCTAACTGCCAATCTAAAAGTGTTTGAGGTCGACAATAAATTGCCTTTGTTTCTATGTTTTATGGTAATCTCTTTGTGTCAAATTTTTTTTACTGACCTAATACCTAATAGTTTAAGATTGGCAATTAATTGCTGGCCTCATTTTTCCAAACTCCATATATATATATATATATGGAGTTTGGAAAAATATAGAACATCTCTAACATCGCACTCAAATAGCCTGATGCCGAGGGTTTCAGTATATACCTAAAATATTTTATAGTCTGCTATCGCAAAGAGTGCCACTACATCGATTGAGGGTTTGGCATAGGGCAGCAATCTTTTTTTTTATTAATCCTCATTTTTTTCTTTTTCTTCTAAAAATGCCAGACCTTTAAAGTTAGTAAAAACTAATAATAATTTGTTATTTATATACATTATAGTAGACTATATATATATATATATATATATATATATATATATATATATATATATATATATATATATTATGTTAATTGATTTTAATAAAAAGGCAGCATATAACTATTTTTAAATATATTTTGATTTAAAAATATATTAATGATATTTCACTGACCTATTCCTACTCCGTTCGCTTTGATTCAAAAGAAAAGCAAGAATTATTTCTTAATACTTTAAATGAACAAAACCCCTCCATAAAATATACAGTTGAACTTGAAAACGAAAGAAAACAACTTGATTTTTCAGATATTTGTATTACAAATACAATGAATGGATTTTATGAGTTTCAAGTACACCGTAAGGATGCGATAACAAATGTTCAAATAAAACCAAACTCCAACATCAACCCAAGCATAACCACTGGCATCTTTAAAGGTTTTTTATGTTGAGCAAAACAAATCTGCTTTTTAAAATACCTGTCACAAGAAATCAATTTCCTCATAAATACATTTTTTGAAAATGGCTATAACAAAAATAATCTAATTAAAATAACCAAAAACTATTTAGACGGCATTTCAAAAAACACTATATCTAATCAATTAGATCAAAAGTTTGTTAAACTACCTTGGATACCTATTATTGGCCCAAAACTCTAAAGAGAATTTAAAGTTTAAATAACGTATTATGCAATAACAAAACAAAACTACCTCCAAACTCAAATCCGGGAGTTTATCAACTTGAATGCTCATGAAGAATTATATATATTGGTGAGACCAAAAAAAAAATCATTTCAAGAAGTGCAGAACACCAAAGAGCTTGCAAAAATCAAAAATAGTCAAGTTCAGGAGCCATGGAACATTCTAGAACATGTTGTGGTAACTTTGATTGGTTAAATCCTAAGACCTTGGCAGTTGTTCAAGAATACAGGATACCAAATATTAAAGAATCCCTTGAGATTAACAAAGCTAAAGTTCGATATGAGATAGGTATTGGGGAAGGTGTTCTAAATTGAAATGACAGGGATAAGGTTAAAACACAAACTTGGGGACCCATTTTGACAAAAATTTAACTGACGTCATTATTATATTATTTAATTAGTTTTTTTATTTGACGCTTTTTAATGTCTTTTTTTTAAACGGTTTGTTTTATGTTATTTTTTTACGTTTTATTATTACCTGATGACGCTGACCACAATAGGTCAGCGAAATATTGTTAATATATTTTTACATCAAAATATATTTAAAAATAGTAATATATATATATATATATATATATATATATATATATATATATATATATATATATATATATATATATATATATATATATATATATATATATATATCGTATAACAAAAAATGACTTTTAAAGATATATATATATATATATATATATATATATATATATATATATATATATATATATATATATATATATATATATATATATATATATATATATACACAAAATAAGCAATAAGGCAAAATTCTTTTTTAGATTGTTCTATTATTTTTTCTAATTGTAGTATTTAAATTGTCATAGATAATTTCTAGGGGTACTGAAAGTTCCATCTGTGGTCCAATGTTGTTTCTCAACAATTATAATGATCTTCCTGATAATCTTACCTCTAAAATGGTATGCATTAGATAAAAGATGGTATTCATTAGATAGAACTTCTAAGATGGCTGATGATACAATTTACTCCAGTTTTAAAAAAAGCCATCACACAGCTAATCTTAAATGTGAGCCAATCTCTTTAGTGACAGTTATGCGGTTGCAATGGCTAGTGAATTTTAACCAAACAAAATAATCAGCCCAATTTTGTTGATATTTTTTTATTGATGAGTGGGAATACTAATGAATTTTCTCTACTTGTGTAGAGAAAATTCATTTTTCTTTTCTTGGATTATCTTTCAATACTGATCTCTCATGAAAACTATTACTTTAACTGTGAATTTGTTATAAAAGAAGAGATTGAGCTAAATCAGATTATTTTAAAACAATGTAAATATTTTGGAGTTTATCCAAATGCTCTTTTGTTTTAAAACTATTTAAAGAAAATCTTGTTCAACTTTTTTTTTTCTCTAAATAATTTTTTCACATATAATATTTATGTAACATTTAGTCCAATTTTAAAATTAAAAAATTATAATCAATCATTTTAATGTATGTGTACAAGGATGAAAATAGGTGTCGAACATTGGTGTTTCCTGGACCCATTTTAAGAGCTGTCTGAAGGGGGCATTGTCTGAAAAAATGAACAATAGCTGGTTGTCCTCTCAAACAGAACTTGGAAATAGTTCAAAGGGCGTCATGGTCCACATGCCTGGACCACCTTTTACAAACCCTGGTGTGTTAAATAAAAAATACATATTTACTGTTTGTTAATTTAATGTTTTTTTTTCAAAGGGTTATAATAAAGATAAAACCAATAAACCAAAGACACAAAACACAGGTGGATTAAAAATCACTAAGGTACATATAGTTTTATGGCCAAGATTAAACTTTAAATACTTCATTTTAATGTTAAAAGTTAACAATTTTAGTATATCCAAATTATTTTTAAAAAAATTTGTTATTTAACAATATAACAATATTTAACAAATAATAATAATAAAAAAATTTAATTACTACTTTAGGTTCCAGTCCATTTACGCAGTGGCTGGCAAGCATTTTATTTTGAAATTTTAACAATGATTGGAATTATTGTATATGCTGCTAACTTTTACACTGGCAAAACAAAAAATTCTAAACTAGCAACTGCTTGGTAAATATTTAGTTATGATGATAATGATGATGATGATGATGATGATGATGATGATGATGATGATGATGATGATGATAATAATGGTGATGATGATGATGGTGATGATGATGATGATGATGATGATGATGATGATGATGATGATGATGATGATGATGATGATGATGATGATGATGATGATGATGATGATGATGATGATGATGATGATGATGATGATGGTGATGCTGTATTTTGATTCAGTTTTTTTAAATTAGTACTTGCATGTGTAAAAGACTATAATAAAATTTTACTTAACAAAGAGATTCTTTATAATTAATGCATCGGGTATTTATATTGGATGATTAGATTTTTCCTGATTCTTTTTTTAAAAGCATTGTTTAAAATGTTTATCAATCAAGATTTAAAATATCCTTAGTCATTATCGGTTCTTTTTTTAAACATTTTGTTGATATAGGTTTAAAGCTCACAAGCCTCTGTTAGAACAACATTTTAGACTTTCTGTTAATATAGGTTTAAAGCTCACAAACCTTTGCTGGAACAACATTTTAGCATTGTTGGAGATGATGGGATGAGTAAAGAACCTCAAAGTGGTGTTTTGGTTAAAGAGAGTGAAAGTGTTTATACGCTTTGGTGTACTGGTCGACAGTATTGCGAAGGTATGCTTGTTGAGTTAAGATTGCTCAAGCGACATGATATTGTTAGTATCATTTCACAGATGATGCGACCACGACCTGAAATTGTCAAAATTACAGTATATATGGATGATGAAGACATGGATAATTTTGTGTTTTCCTTGCTTCCAAAAAAACAAGCCTCAAAATATCACAAGGATTTACAAGATTTAGTAAGATTTTTAGAATTACAATTATATAACCATATATTTAATTATCTAGTCATAGTATTATATTATCTAATATGTAATGGTTTTATGAGAAAAATAATTAGATATAAAAATGCAGTTAAAAATTTTTGTAACAGCTAAATATTGTTCTAATTATTATAGGAAAAATAAAAATAATTTTTTTTTTTAACTTTTAACTTTGATCTGCATTAATAAACAAGAACTGGTAAATTATGTCAAAAAAGCTTTGAAAATCTGGTAAGTAAACAAAGTGTTTATAAATCTGGTAATGAGACTTATGAGAAAATATATTTTTTACTATCAGTGGGTTAAAAATTGATGCGTTTTTAACAATTATTAGTTTGCCAAAGGAGACACTCTTGTCGAAGATTAATCTATGTTAGGAATCATCCTAAATAACATATTTTTAATGGGTTTTTTGTCCTATTTTTATAGAATATATATTGAAATATATATTTTATTAGTTTATTAGAAAACCAACATTTACTTATATACAATAAGTACATTTTTTACTTATATTCAAATATCAAAATTTCAACATATTGAAAACATATCAAAAATTTATTTTTATTATGTAGATAATTATTGTAAAGTTATTGTATTATATTTAAGGCTTTCTTTTGTGGAGAGAAAAAATCTGCAGACCGATATGAACTTCCGAATTTCTCTATACTTAGTGAGTCTGGTGAAGTCAGTGATTTTGTTCTAAGCACACAGGTAATATTAAAATGATCAGTTTTTGATCTTAAAAAACTTCTTGATTCTTCAAAAATTGAATTGATTCATTGGTTTTAAGGTTTGCAATGTTATAAAAAAGTACGAGAATTGCTTTGAATCGCTACATTTTTCAGATCAGTTTGTTGGTCAGAAAAAAGAAGATGGGTAAATAAAGTGCTTTATTATTATTAACAATTGTTTGTTATATATATTTTTTTATTTTAATTTATTTTTAGTGATGAAGAAGGGACTGCCAAGCTAAAGAAACCCAAGAAAGTACTCATATTTGAATTTAAAAGTATGGTTGGTCAAAATATTTCTAGTTAAAGAACTTTTTTTTTATTGACTGAAATACTGAGTTCTGCATTTAAAAAAGCATCAGTAAAAATTCAAAAATCTAAAAAAACTAGTTTGATTAAATAAATCTTAAATGGGTTTTTAGGGTCGCTGGTGAATGTTTCTACTTTACAAAGTTACAAATATTTTTTAAATTAATTTTATAAGTTTATTGTATGTAGTGATTACTTAAGTTTTTATGCCAAGTTAATTATAATAGAAATAATAAAAATACTAGAAATCTTTTTTTCTGAATATAATTCGCCAATCTTCCAATGATGCTCTTTCTTGTTTAGACAATCCAATTATTCTCTTTTAGACAAACTATATTTTTGCATTTGCAATGCAAAAATATAGTTGGACCTGCTCTTGCAGCCAACCATTATCATATCGTTGTAATGTTGCTTCTCTTTCTCTTCTATAAATAGTAAAATAAATAGTATTATGGGCATTGCTCTAAAGAGCTAGCGTCTCTTTTGCCATCTACTAAAATTCATTCTCGTTTAATTCATCATTTAATTGTGATCCTTTTACTGTGACTGTTCCTAAGTGCTCCAAAGATTTTTATTTGTCTAGTTTTTTCCCTCAAACATCAGGCCTTTAAAATTTGCTTCCTTCATTATGTTTTCCTGATTCATATGATTTGCAATCTTTTAAGTTGTCTGTTAATCATTATCTTGCTCTAAATTTCATTTTTTTCTCTTCTAGTTACTTCTAATAGTGTTTGCTTGTAGCCTTGTTGGAAGTGAAAATGTGAAAATAACAACACAAAAAAAGGATTTTAACCTTATTACTTTCAATGGGGAAATAAGTTAAGCACAGTCAACCAGGGATTTTATGGTTGCTTCACTTCTTAACTTCTTTTATTCTCTTATTTGTTCAATTGCGTTGCCTACTTCTACTTTTTGTTTTCTCATAGAGTTCAAAAGCTACAAAATGAAGAAAGCTTCTAAAATTGATTGCTTTTTTCTTAAATAAGGATACATAACAGGTTTTGTGTATTCCTAGGTTATAAGGTTCTTTCTTGCATGCTGTAAACATACATATTATACATGCTGTATAATATATACATGTTATGATGAGTAAATTCTACCTCAATTTAAATCAATTTGCATTGGATTTCATAGTGTAAGCTGACCTTTACATTTTTTTCTTTTTGTTTTCAGTAATCTAGAAAAATACTTTTCTTTGATACATCTGAGTCTGAAACAATAAGACTTTTTAAAGCATTAAAATCTTTAACATTCTTTTTAAACAATTAAACTTAAATTATTTCTTCAAATTATTGTTTCTCTTTTTCTTCAAAATACACTTCATATTTATTTTTTTAATAATTATTTTTGCTTTAGTTCCCGGTAATGGCAGGACACGCTCAGAAGATATGGCTGCTACTGAAGGGCTAGTAAAAATGGTTTTGCTAATGATAGATAGAGTTAAAGGGTTTAGGTTGTCACAACAAGTCAGTTTTAGATGTTTGTTTAATCAACAGAAAGGCTTTTTTTTTTACTTCCTTTAAATTAATGTATTTCTTGACAGGCTCGTTTAAAAAGTGATAAGAAAAGGAGAGAAGTTGAGCAGAACTTTCTAAAGCAACAACATTCTCAACGTCAAGAAGTAAACTATAAGTTTATTTATTTTTTTTTAGAAATGAATTTCCCTTGGTTATTATAGCAAATTTTTTTCATATTTTTTTTTTCTTCTGTTTTTTTTAATAAAGTTAGATTTTCATTGAAAAAAAAACTTGTTATTGATGTTATTCATCTTGTTTTACTATTATCAAACTTTTTCAGGCCTCTCAGGCTCGTCGTGAAGAAAAATTGCGTTTAGAAAAAGAACGTTTGATGGCAGAAGAAGATCCTGAAAAACAGAAGCGTATGGAGGTAAACTAGTTTTTATTCAACTCCTAATATTGCACAAAAATTAACTTTATCAAAAATAATAATGTGAATCTGTAAAAACACATACTGTTACTCTAGACACACACAGCATGATGTAATAAATTGATTGATAAACAATATGTTAATTCAAATTTTTTTTATCTAAGTTTATTTATTAATTTTTTCAATATTTGTGAAAGATATCCATAACTATAATTTAATTTATTTAAACTCAAACTGAATCAGATATTAAAAATATCTGATTTTGTTTGTGTAAATCCATTTTTACAAATAAAAACTTTTAGTATCATGAACTGATTAAATTAATGGAGATTTTATCTATTGTTTAGAAGTTAAATTAGAAGTAAAAATAAGACTTTACTAAAATATTTAAATATTGTAGAAAAAATCAATTAAAAAATAAAGAGTTAATCCATAATATAATTTTTTATTTAATTATATAAATTAAACTCTTTAAAGATGTCTTTTAAAACTTAAGATGGCTATACTGTTCTTTTCAAACAAATGAACTTTGTATTCAGCATTTAGTAGAAAAGTTTGATGTTAAAACAAGGTTTTCTGGATCCATTGGGAAGTTACATTTTAAGGCTATTGAAGTGGAAAGATATTACAATTTAAATCTAATATCTCTAGGTCTCGGCTAATTGATTTTATGAACAATGGTTTGTCCAGATGTAGTATGGACCAAAAGTTCTTTTTGTCATTACCTGTTCATATATAATAAGATAATCATAAATATTCTTTATTTATAATAAGATAATCATAAATATTCTTTATTTATAATAAGATAATCATAAATATTCTTTATTTATAATAAGATAATCATAAATATTCTTTATTTATAATAAGATAGTCATAAATATCTATTAGGGAAAGTTACTTCAATCTTCTTTATTTCATCATCCATTTGAAATCTTTTGACCATCTTTTATATCTTGACCATCTATTATATTTTGAAACCCTAAACAGGCTCAGAATAGGCAGAGATATACGCAATCTGGTTGGCTGATTTTGAAAGAGAGGCTTTTATGTTTATGTTAAGATCAAAACAAATTTCAAAAAGCATATTGAATAATAAAAGTGAAATTGAATAGTTGCATAAAAAATCAAATAATAATAACATAAAAAGTATGATCTTTCTATCGAATTTTGTAGCACTACTTATTTTACAAAACTTCATAACTTGAAACATCCATATTTTTCAATATATATTATTAAAAATAAAGGTTTAAAAAAAGTAGTTTGTTTTCCTAATGGTTTTTATAACTCTAAGACATAAAAAAGACAACCATTGTAACAAACTATAAACCAGATGGTGAAACTATGCTGTGATTCTCATACGATAGATTTTTAAAGCAGTTTTCAAATTTACCTAGTAATATAATTTTTAGTAATAGTTTTAAAATTTATTTAGGTATAATTTTTTTCAAACTAAGCTCCCATTTATTCTATCATTTAGCTAGAAAAATTATTTTTAAGAATTACCTAATTTTTTTCAGAACTTTACTCCCAAATATAAATTATATACATTACTAAAACATTTTAAGTTTGAGAATATAGCTTATTAGTTGTTATAGCCCAGGTAATTTGTGACACTCTCAAATTAAAAGCAATAGTAAGCAAGAGCTGATTTAAATTGTAATTTATGTAATTTATGTGTAAGTTATGTGTAATAATAAAAGATTAAAAACGATTGTAGCATAATAAACTATAAGAAAAAGTCTATAACCTGATATCCACAAGTGTGTTTTGATAAAGTAAATTGATTACCAAAAGGAATAACTCTTAACTTACCATACCTTTATGAAGAACTAAGTGTAAAAAGGCAGAAACAATAAAAATTGCAAACATACAAATTCGTGCTGTTGTTTATTTCAATTTCAAAAGTCAATACATTTAAAGCACTTATTTGTTGATATAAAGCTATTAACTTGAACAAAATATTGTTTATTGTATTCTATAATTGGTAAAAAAATGTTTACTCTCTAATAGCAACTGATGGTAAATAATATTATATAAAGCAACAAATTTTGATAACTTTTACATTTATTATGCTATTAATTTATTTTACATTATATACTCCTCAAGAAAAAAAAATGTCTGCTTTAGAAAAATGGAAAAAACACCTATTCCATATTTTCAAATTTTATGAATAGTTTCATTATGTAATTTTTACTCTAACCAATAAAATCAAGTGCTTTTTTTGAATTTCTGTTAATACCTCATGTATAATAGTATAGAAATAGAGATGTCATGTTTTATTTTGAAGTAATATTAATAATTTTTTCTTTGAAAACTTGCTTCTTCAAATGTAAAAGCATGTTTTGATGAGGTTTGTTTTTTATTACATCAATTGCCATAATTCACCTTCATTTGGTTACATTTTTTGACTTCAATACTCTTTGCTAGCTTGTAATATCGAAGTTTATATGTAACTGTACAAAAGAGCTGTTAAGTAGAAAAACAAATAAATATCACTTTTTTTGTTAAATTTTCTAATAGATTAATAAAATCCAATTGTCATCCTACTTATATATGAAAAAACACCCTAAACTTTTTTTAAATTTTCACAAAGTGTTTAAAAGTTTAAGGATGATGTTATGTTACGTAAATAATGAAAAATATTGATGTATATCTTTTCAAAATTTAAGTTAAAAAGCAACTTCTTCTGAGTTCATAGATTTACGTGGAACGTGGAAGCTAATTCAGTAAAACATCTGTAAAAATTTTCTTTTAGCAAAAACTTTAATGTTTAACTTTTTATAATTAACAAGTTGGTACAAAGATACTGTAACGAGCTTAGAACAACCTCTGCTCTTGCCTAAAATTTACTCTTTGCATATTTTATGTGTCTGGTACAACTGCATATAATTTTTGTATTGGGCATGCTTTATTGAACAGGGAGGAATCTTGCAAAATTGGACACATGCAAATTCACGTTAAATATCTTGAGAGTTAAATATCTTTATGCGTTAAATATCTTTATACATACAAATTATACATACACGTTAAATATCTTTATACATACAAAACACATTTTATAATAACAAAAACTCATAGCATGACAACTGACTTTGTTCTTTTTTCTAATAATTTTGTTGTCTTTATTATTCTTATTCCATGTCTTTATTATTCTTTTTCCATTAAAACGTTCAATTTTCATCACTTAATTTGGTTTTTAAAATATTTTTTTTCAATTACTACAATACAAAAAAATGCCACAATCATTGTATTTTTTTGATGCCATAATCCACTTTTATTTGGTTAACTTATTTGGGTTCAATATTTTTCTTGCTTGTAATGTCAGTATTTATATGTAACTGTAAAATTTACTGTAAAAAATTACTGTTTAGTAGATGAACATAAATTTAACTTCTTTTGTTAAATTTTCAAACAAAGTATTATAATTAATATAATATAAATCAATTTATAAATAAACTTCTTCACCGATAATCTAGTAGAACTGCATATAATCTTTGAATGGAAAAGTACTTTACCAGTAGTCTCGTAGAACTGTATATAAATTTTTTATTTGAGTATGAAACACATTTATAAATCTTTTCGAATTTGCTTTAACACACTTTTTTTTTTCCATTTCTTTAAATTAACAACAGATAAAATTAAAATAGATTTTATACGTTTAAAATGCTCTGAGTATTTTACTAAAATTTACTAAAATAAAATGAATTTCCTGTGTTGATAGTAAAACAAGAGTTGTATTGATATTCTAAAATATAATTTAAAACAAAACAAAAAAAAAAATAAAAAGTTGTATTGAAATTCATTACTTCGAAATTTATTTTGAAAATCTGCTTGTTTTGATTTTAATTATATTTTTTAACAAAAGTGCAAAAGTGCCCTTCTTTCGAAATCAGTGAATTAGATTGCTAATATTTCTGCCTGAGTCTGTATAGGGTTTTAAAATATGCAGACGGTTTTCTAATATTATCCAAAAATATTTTTTCAAAAGTACGTCGTGTTGGGTCTTAAATGAAGCGAAATTATATAAAAATTTAAAAATTATAAATCATTTAAAAAAAAATTCTTGTTAAATTCCCTTTTTTCGCTTTTAGTTAAAAAATGTCATTTTCTATTCACTAAAATCTAAAATAGTAATTTATTTATAAAATGATTCATATATTTGAAATTTTTATATGATTTCGCTTTATCCAACATATGATTTCGCTTTACCCAACATAACTTACTTTTGAAAAAAAATTTTTTGTGGATAATGTTAAGGACTCTTCTGATGTTTGAGAGTCTTGTGCAACCCCTAAATATATATTATTATTAACAGAAAAAATTTTAAATCCAGTATTTTTTTCATTATATAGAACACATTTAAGGGTTGGAGAACATCTTTTTAAAAAAAGGTTGTTTTTATATTCGTGATCAAGTCCGCTTTTTGAAATTTTTATAATTTTTAAAACGAATAAATAATATGTGTTATGGTCTTTAAAGGATTTTAAAGTTTTTCTATATCAAAGAGTACTTAGTGAACTTATTTTTATTGGCTGATTATGTTTTTAATAATTCATCTTTTTTATTTTATGGGCTTTATCACATTGGCTTGTAAATGGCTCATATATGAGTGTGTGTGTTTATATATATATATATATATATATATATATATATATATATATATATATATATATATATATATATATATATATATATATATATATATATATATCTTGTTGTTTTTTTTACTGTTCAGGAGATAATGAGTAAAAGAGATGCTAAAAAAAGAGGACCAAAGGTTAAAAGCATGAAGGTACGAATGTGATTGTCAGTGAATTGGATCATCAACTTAGAGTCTGATAATAAGAGTTGAATTTGGTAAAAGAAAGAATTAATTTGAAATGTTTTACATCAAAACGAAATGAAAATAAAAGTTGTCTGATTTCTTAGACTTTTTAGTCGCGTTTTTATTTGCCTATATATTTCAAATATTAAATCTTCGCTTAGTTAATTTGGATTTTAATATGTTTAATTGCGCTCATTCTTTTATTTTAAGTCTGCTTATTTAGGCATTAGATAGAATGCAAACTTACATTGAGTCAATTGAAAGGGGTGTACATTGAGCCGGATATCTGGCTATGTCTAACATCCGCGGATGTTAGACATAGACAAAATTATTATAACCCTTTAAATGTCCGCGCAATCGTTTTTTCATTAAGATGTATTTACTTTTATTATAAATTTTAGCTAAATAACTGCTAATATTGAAAATTATTATTACAATTTAAAATTAGTCTAAAATTAAAATTTTTTTTAATTAGTTTTAAATTAATTTAAAACTAGTCTAAGATTTTAAAATTAGACATTCAAATCACTCCGTGTTCCATTGCTAAAGTCATATCTCGATTAAACTATTCTTGTGGTCCAGACAATATTCCTTACAAAATTGTTCTCCAGATCTCTCTTTAATTTTTTCTAAACTATTTAATAAGTGCTTGACTTATTAAATAGTTTAGAAAAAAACTTGTTTTCTTGCCTGCTGTAAAATGGCATCTATTGTTCCAATTTTCAAAAACTTCGGTGAACATTCTGACCCCTCCAATTATCGTCCAATAAGTCTTCTTTCTGTTATTAGCAGGGTCTTTGAGTCATTGGTAAACAAATTTCTCACGTCCCATCTTGAGTCAAATAACTTGCTGTCAGACAACCAATACGGTTTTTGATCCTCTCCCGCGACTGCCAACTTACTAACTGCTGTGACTGAAAGAATCTATCGTGTATTAGATCGAGGCGGAGAGGCTAGGACTATTGCTCTTGACATATCTAAGGCTTTCAACAAAGTTTGGCATGTTGATCTTCTCCATAAGCTTGTTTCATATGGTGTATCTGGAAAAGTTTTTGAGATTATCAAATTGTATATTTCTAACCGCTTTATTAGAGTCATCCTCGAAGGCCAATACTCTTCTTTATTTTCACTATCTTCAGGGTACTCAAGGTTCTATCTTCACTATCTTCAGGGTATCTCAAGGTTCTATCCTTGGTCCTATTTTTTTTTTTCTTATCTACATTAGTGATCTTCCCGACAATCTTACATCTAAAATAGCTCTTTTTGCTGATGATTCAACTTTTTACTCCTGTCTTGACAAAAAGTCTTCTCTTTTCGATCGCTTAGAACAGGCACCCAATCTTAAACTATGATCGGTTGAAATTCTCAAAGACTACTTATAATGAGGTATAACACCATGTTAGCATTAACCAATTATAATGCTTCTTTTTTTATGCTTGCATAATTAGTTTTTATTTCAACAAAAATAAATTAATCCTTATCATTACGACGTGCAAGTAATATAATTATAATTTTTTAAGTACCCACCATTATCTCCACAATTTTACTTTGCGCCACTTTTTTTGTAGCATTAATCCATAAATCCTGGAAATTTTTAGCACTATTTTTACATTTGCCTTTTTTCCTCAATATTCCCTTCACAATTGCCCAGTAAGATTCGATAATTCATTGCTCAGGACAATTTGGGGGATTAGCATCCTTCGGAACAAAATTGTCTCTATTTTTCTTTTACCATTGCATTATGTTTTTTGAATAGTGAATCAATGCCAGATCTGGCCAAAATAAGTTTTTTTTGTATGTGTTTTTTAATTAGAAGAAGTCGTTTTTTCAAGCATTAACTCCCATATAAATCTGGTGTCAAAGATTGATTTCTTATGAAAAGAGAGCTATTAAAACCTCAACTGCAAATAGCATGCCACTCAAGGAATTTAAAAGTGATTTTCTTACTCAAATGTACTTAAATTTGTCAGAAACTTTATAACGTTTCGACTTAAAATATTATTGATTACATGAAAGCATCGAGTGATCTTTTTTACAGTAAGTTTTTAAATATAGTTAGTTTATTTTGTCGTTTTACACATTTTACAATGTTATCTTTAAATTCGAATAAATATATATATAATTACAAGCTGACAGGGGCAAGTAGAAGACATAAAGTCTTATCATCAAGCCCTTTTGTGAAATAGAGAAATATAAAATTTCTAAAATTCCAATAATATAAAAAAGAGTTAAATTAAAAATTTTGAAAAAAATAAACAAACATTCAAACAAAATAAAAATAAAAATAAAAAAATTTAAAGAGTTTGAAATAAAGTAAAAAGATTGAAAAAAATTAAAAAGTTTAAAATAAATTAAAAATTAAAAAAAGTAAAAATTAGAAAGAAAAAAAAATAATAATAATAATAATAATAAAATCTCGAAATAAAAAAATAAAAATGTATACAAAGCGTAAATTAAAAAGTTTGAATTTTTTTTTACAAATCAGTACATACATATACATATTCATACATACAGTATACATATTCATATACATACAGTATACATATTCAATACAAAGCGAAGTATATATTCAAAAATATTTATATATTAAAAAGATTCCAAACGTTATGTAGATTTAAATTCATTTGTTAGTATTTATTAAAAAAAGTTAAAAAAAAAACAGTCAAAGAGAAAATCAAACAAGAAAGATATATATGTATATATATATATAAAAAAAAAAAAAAAAAAAAAAAAAAAAAAAAAAAAAGCTTTTTATCAAATTTATCAAAAAAATATTATTTTTAAAAAAATGAAAGAATGTATGTAATGTTTGAGTTTAGTAAGTGTTTTTTTATAGTTCTTTTGAATATATCAATAGATTTTATTTTTTTCATATTTTCGTCAAGAACTGACTTCCACAAGCGTGGCCCCCGACATGTAATTGAGAAGTCAGATTTTTTGAGTGATGTTGGTGGGATGTAGTAATTATTTATTGAGTGTCTTGTTTCATATTTATGGTTAATTAGAGAGAAACCTTTATAAAAATATTTTGGAATTAGTTCATTTTGAAGTTTAAACATAAATAACAAGTTATGGTATATATTTAGTTCGTATACGTTTAGCGCATTAATTTCCTTGAGTAACGGCTTGGCACTTTCGTACCTATCTGCGCCCAAAACTAATCGACTTGCTTGCTTTTGTTTAGTATAAATATTTTTTAGGAAAGATGAATGATTGTTTGCCCAGGCAATATTACAATAGTTAATATGACTATGTATAAATGAAAAGTATAAGTTTTTTAAACATATTTTATTCAAAAGATGTTTTGTCCTGTACATAATCCCCACAGTCTTTGAAACTTTGTTCTCGACTAACTTTATTTGGCTTTTCCAATTTAAATGTTCATCGAAATTTATTCCTAGTATTTTCATTGAAAAAACTCTTTTTATTTTAATATTGTTAATTGTTAGTTCTGGAAGTTTAAGTGGAAGGTTCTCGGATTGAGATGGTTTAGCAAACAAAATATATTTAGTTTTTTCAATATTTAATGATAGTTTATTTGCTATAAACCACTCATTAAGATATATTAGTTCAGCGTTTACATAATAAAAAATATTTTTTAAATTTGAGTCAGAAAAGAAAACATTAGTGTCATCAGCAAAAATAGTATAATTAAGTATTTTTGAAGACAAAAAAATATCATTGATATAAACTAAAAACAATAAAGGTCCAAGTATTGATCCTTGTGGAACTCCGCAACTTATTGATTCAAATGGGGAGCATGTTAGATCATATGGTACACCTTGTTTACGGTTTTCTAAATAACATTGAAGCCACTTTAAATTAGAGTGAACTACTCCGTAACTACGTAGTTTGTAGATAAGAATCTTGTGGTTTACAGTATCAAATGCCTTTGATAGATCTAGAAAAATTCCAAGTGTGTAACAATTGTTTTCAAAACCTTGTAAAATTTGGTTCGCAAGATCAATTACGGCATGTTCCGTAGAATGGTTTTTTCGAAAACCAAACTGTTTATGATAAAGAATATTATTTTTTTCAAGATAATTGTACAGCCTGTTGAACATAATACGCTCTAATATTTTGGAAAAACAGGAAAGTATGGAAATCGGTCTATAGTTAGATATTATTGAGTCGTCGCCGCTTTTGTATATTGGAATTATTTTTGCTAATTTAAGTTGGTCGGGAAAAATGCCGTTTTTTAGGGATAGATTAAAAATTATGAAAAGGGGTTTCTCTATGATATCAGAGACAGCTTTTACAACATCAGGTTTAATTTCATCCAGACCCGCACTTTTATTTGATTTAAGCATACTAATCGCTTGCCGAAGTTCTTCAATCAAAAGCTCTGACTCATCCATGAAGAAATCAGATTTTTTCAAAAAGGATTTAAATGATTTTTTTCCCTCCGGAATTGCATCGGCTAGTTTTTTTCCTATATTTATAAAAAAGTTGTTAAATGTTTCTGCAATTTCTTTATTTACAGAAGCATCACCTAAATTGTCATCTCTTTGTAATCTTTTTGGGAAATTGTCTTTTTTTACATTACCCACGCCTGTTATTTCTTTAATTACATTCCAAGTTTTTCTTGCATTGCCAAATGTTTTATTAAGTAATGAAGAGTAGTAATTTTTTTTTGATTGCTTTTTTAATTTTTCAAAATAATTTTTATATTTTTTGTATTTTATTTCGTTTTTGTAGTTCTTTTTTTTAAGAAATTTTTGGTAAAGTTTTTGTTTCTTTTTTGACGACTTAATGAGTCCTTTCGTCATCCACGGACTAAGCAAACTTTTAGGTTTAATAATTTTTTTAAATTTTGGAAAGGCCTTTTCGTATTGCTTAGTGAACACGTGAATAAAAAATTCATAGCCGTTATTTACGTCATTGCAATCAGTCAATAGTTCCCAGTTTACTTCTTGTAAGAGGTCTCGAAACGTGGCGAGTGATTCATTATTTATTTTTCTTTCATATACAGTTTTTGTTTTTGTATGTTTCTCAGGGTTTGCAGAATATGTACTCAGAAAAACTGGAAAATGGTCAGTTATATCTGTTTTAATAATACCACTTTGCCATTCCACGCTTGTGTAATTGTTAGTAAT